GAGGAAGAGGAGGAAGAGGAAGAGGAGGAAGAGGAGGAGGAGGAGGAGGGAGAGAAGAAGAGGAAGAGGAGGAGGAGGAGGAGGGGGAAGAGGAAGAGGGGGAAGAGGAAGAGGAGGAGGAGGGGGAAGAGGAGGAGGGGGAGAGGAAGAGGGGGAAGAGGGGTAAGAGAGGAAGAGGCGGCGGAGGAGGAGGGCCGCGGCGCACTCACTTCGCGCGGCCCGCGCCGCCCGGGCGCGGCTGTTGGCGGCGTGGAACCAGCGCACGGCGGCGCCGTCCCGGGCCGCGATGCGCCCGGCGCGCAGGAAGTGATCCACGGGCCACTCGCTCCACGGGCCTGCGGGGACACGGGGACACGGCGGGGACCGCTCAGCGCGGCGCGGCCCGGCCCGGCCCGGCCCGGCCCAGCTCCGACAGCCCCGGCCCGGCCCGGCCCGGCCCAGCTCCGACAGCCCCGGCCCGGCCCGGCCCGGCCCGGCCCGGCCCTGCCCAGCTCCGACAGCCCCGGCCTTGCTCAGCCCGGCCCGGCCCGGCCCGGCCCAGCCCAGCCCTGCCGAGCTCCGACAGCCCCGGCCCGGCCCGGCCCGGCCCGGCCCGGCCCCGCGCTCACCCCTCGCCCCGCTCGCCATGCCCGGCCCAGCCGAGCCCTGCCCAGCTCCGACAGCCCCGGCCCGGCCCGGCCCGGCCCGGCCCGGCCCCGCGCTCACCGCTCGCCCCGCTCGCCATGCCCGGCCCGGCCGGGCCCGCCCGCCGGGCGGTGCCGCCGGCTGCCCCCGGGCCGGGCGCGGTGACCCGATCGCGTTCCGGCTGTGCCAGAGCCTCCCGCGGGATGGCTGCCGTGTCCTGCCCGTGCCGCTGCCACTGTCTGTTCCTGTCTCTCTGTTCTCGTCTCTGTCCCTGCCTGTCTCTCTGTCTCTCTGTCCCTGCCTGTCTCTCTGTCTCTCTGTCCCTGCCTGTCTCTCTGTCTCTGTCGCTGTCTCACTCTGTCTCTCTGTCCCTGCCTGTCTCTCTGTCTCTCTGTCCCTGCCTGTCTCTCTGTCTCTCTGTCCCTGCCTGTCACTCTGTCTCTCTGTCCCTGCCTGTCTCTGTGTCTCTGTCCCTGCCTGTCTCTCACTCTGTCTCTCTGTCCCTGCCTGTCTCTCTCTCTCTCTCTCTGTCCCTGCCTGTCTCTGTCTCTCTGTCCCTGCCTGTCTCTCTGTCTCTGTCCCTGCCTGTCTCTCTGTCTCTGTCGCTGTCTCACTCTGTCTCACTGTCCCTGCCTGTCCCTGTCTCTCTGTCGCTCTCTCACTCTGTCTCTCTGTCTCTGTCCCTGCCAGTCACTCTGTCTCTCTGTCCCTGCCTGTCTCTCTGTCTCTATCGCTGTCTCACTCTGTCTCTCTGTCTCTATCGCTGTCTCACTCTGTCTCTCTGTCCCTGCCTGTCTCTCTGTCTCTATCGCTGTCTCACTCTGTCTCTCTGTCCCTGCCTGTCTCTCTGTCTCTCTGTCTCTGTCGCTGTCTCACTCTGTCTCACTGTCCCTACCTGTCCCTGTCTCTCTGTCGCTGTCTCACTCTGTCTCTCTGTCTCACTGTCCCTGCCTGTCCCTGTCTCTCTGTCGCTGTCTCACTCTGTCTCTCTGTCTCTGTCCCTGCCCCTCTGAAGCCAGGCGGCGGCTGCAGCCCGCGGGCAGCGCAGCCCGAGCTCCGGACGCTGCGGCACGGGAGGCAGACACGGGACAGGACAGGACACAGCCCCGGCTGGGCCAGGGCAGCTCGGGGTGGAACCAGCAGCATTTCCCCATGGAAAGGGAGCTCAGGCCTTGGAAGTGCCCAGGGAGGGTTGGAGTGCCCGTCCCTGGAGGTGTCCCAGCAATTCCTGGATGTTCTCCGGGCCGGGGACACGGTGGGGATGGGGCACAGCTGGGGCTCCACGGGCTGGGAGGGATTTCCCAACTTACTCTGTGTGAAATGACGTTGGTGTCCATCCATCCCCGCCTTGCAGGGCCCGCACAGCTGACCCCAGCCCACGGCAGCACCGGGCTCAGCCCTGCAGCTGGGACAGAGCCCGGCACAGCCCCAGTCCCTGAGCAGCTGCAGAGCCTGGCTGGGGCTGCCCAGCCCGTGCGCCAGCCGAGTCACTGCGGGCACAGGCAGTGCCAGCTCTGTCTGCAAGGAGTGTAAGTTATGGCAGGGAGAGGGCAGGAGGCCTGCCCAGCACTGATGGGGCACCCCGTGTCTCTCGCCAGGGTGTCTCTGGTGGCACACTGAGCAATGAGTCCCGTTTTGGGGGCAACATCGGGCGTCCCAGACAGCTGCACAGACAGAACACACCCATTCCAAATGGGTCTTTGTTTCATTTTAAATAAGTGGCGGAAGGTTGCAAGTGCTGTAGTTAACTTTATTGATCATTACTGAAAAGGAGTTAGTAGAGGTTAAGTGCCAAGAGGCAGCTGCTCCTTCAGGTGCCCTGGCCCTGTCACAGACCAAAAACACTCTTCAGCCTCTTGCTGGGGCTCCCTCAAGTGCCTGGGTGCAGCTTATTTTCAACAAGGACACATTTTGTTTGTACTGTGCGTGCGTTCAGCCCTTCTCCCCAACAGCAGCTTCTCAGAAGTCAGCACAGAAGCTGACATGCAGCTCAGCTCCATCCAGCGTAAGATCTCAATGCCTGAACCCTTCTAGGACTGGAGTGTTAAAGCACACGTAACACCAGAGCAGATCAGGTTAAATTACAAATTGTTTTTGATACAAAAACATAAAATATCCCCTATTAGCATCAAGAAGGCATCCAAGTTTTAATACTCTCAATATAAAATTGTACCAGCATTTTTACTGAAAACAATATAGATCTTGTATATATTTAGTTTTGGTTCTGTTCTTGACAAGTAGTTGTGTGGCCGCTACCAAATCCCAACCGCAGTTTGATGAACCTTAGTACAAATCACATGCATCACAAATACATAAATAGATCTAAATGACCCAGTATAAAAAATACATCCTATGCAAGAACCTCAGGTACACTAAAAACGGTTTGGGTTGGAAGGGACCTTTAAGAGTGCCAACCCCACCTGCCACGGGCAGGGATGCCTTCCACTAGAATCAACCTGTGTGTGAAAATTCAGACTTAATGCATCCGTTCTCCCTGAAAGCAAAGGTGGCTACTAAAATGTGGCAAAAGCAGTAGACAGGAGCAGAAAAAATACTGCAGAATTCATGTCTGACTTATTGCTACATGTAGATTACATCAAGGGTAATCTGTTTTTTCCTAATCCTTGAAAGGTCAAATTGTGTATGGAATTCTGAACACAGAGTAAAGAAAAAAGCACTTCTTATAAAAATAGCATCCATTTAAGTTAGATAAATCCTTATAAATACAAGAAAGAAAACAGTTACTCTACAAAATATTGAGAGCATATGTTCCTGAAGCACCAGCATCACATCCCCAGGTAAGGACCTCAGTGAGGTGTGCATCCACACAGCCACAGCGCTGCCAGAGCTGCCCACGGGCTCCAGGCAGCTGCAGCAGGGCTGGGTCTGAGCCCCCGTGGAAAGGACACGGGTTGGGCCAGCCCTGCCCCGCGTTCAGCACACGCAGGGATCACACAGAACCCCAGCTCACACTGGTGTGGGGGTAAGAGGTGAGATCCTGTGACTCGGAGCCACGCCACACCACAAGCGCTGCAGCTGTGTGAGTAACAAAGCCTGCACTCTTCTGCACCTGCATTCAGTGTCAACGAACTCTTCTGTGGTAGAGCACGCAGGGAGGATCTGAGGGGCCTTAAAAAAACAGTTTGAAAAGCTATTAAAACATAAAAGGTTTAGAAACTTTAACATTTTTAGTGTTTGTAGCATTACAACTTTGGTGTTCAGATCTAGCAAATCAGTACGTGCATGTAATTGGCCTCATCCGGACAGGTGCTCTATAATGAAAAATACTAATTCCATTTTCAGTGGCAGAGCTGTAGGGTCTGACATTCCACTGTGAATCACAGGAATCAGAGCACTGTCCAAGTCGTTCAGGTAGCTCTGTGGGAGAAGGTGTCCTCCAGATCCTGCTAAGTATTCAACCTAGGAGGGAAACAGACTGATATTAATTAACACTTCTTGTATTATAAGACTGTGCAAAACATGCTGTAACACAGTAAAAGAGTATTTCAGCTACCATGAAGTGAGAAAGAAATTACTAAGACAGCTTCTTCCCCAAATGTCATCCTCAGTCTGGATCTTGGGTAGGGCAAAACTAAACATTCATGGAAAGATCCAAGGTATTTACATGGGAAGATACTTCGGTGGAAATGGAGTGTGTGCAATAAAAGTGGAAAGCTTACCATGTCTGAGTCAATGGAAACTCTGAGTCCTATCTTATTCATCCCGTTATTTTTCAAGGTTTTCAGGTGAGGCCAAAGAGCAGTGCTGCAGGCAATGGCAATCTCTTTTGCAAACTCGTGGGGAACAGCACTGGAGAGTTCATGATCCTTTGCAAAATAGTAAACCTGAGATCAGAGAAACGGAAGGGCAGTCATCCCCAGGTTAGGAAGAAGAGGAGCTTAGGATCACTGACACCAAACAGGGCAAGCTTTGCTGCTTGTCTGTGGGCAAAGCACCCAAGCATTTCGTCCACACAATCAAAATACTTCAGGAGCCATGGGAATGCCTGCATTAGGCATTTACAGAGCTGCCACTGCCAACACAAAAATGACAAGTGTGTAAACTCACCAAGCAGCTGCAGAGAACATTCTGTCTGGCAGGATGGCTACACAGAGAATCAGCTCATTTTAATAGTATCAATTAGTACCATCACTTTACCACTTAAATATTCAAAAAGTAACAAAAAAGGCTCAAGAACCATGTAATTCACTAACTTCAGTGCACTTCATAACTTTTCCTTCTCTTTTGAAGCCTCTGTATTGTGGTGGTTTTTCACTCCGAGTTCCTTCCATTGATTCTCCATCAACTGGGCTTAAAATTCTATGGAAAACAATATTGTGATTAGTAATTTAAATAACACAGTTTAGATACAGTAGCTTCTATGAAATAATATTTACCCATTCTTTAAGGCTATTTAAACACCTTTACAACAAAATACAAGACAGGACTTCCACTATGAAAATACAGATAATAAAAAGGAAATATCCTAAACAGGGAACTAACACCATTAATAGAAACCTAATCTTGCAGGTTTAAGACACTATAAACCATCTTTGGTTTCAAACACTTTCTGTCACAAGCATACTTTAGATTAATTTCAAGAAACTAAAGGGAGATATTTGAACATTGGGAGCAAGAATTCTCTCAAATGTCTAGCTTTGGTAGTACATTTACCCTTTGTTTGTTTTCTCTTCATTTTCTACCCAGCAAATATCTACATATTCTTTCATGTCCCCTGCATCCACTTTTCCACAGGTTATTTTGAAGTCCTTCTTGTCTCTTAATGCCTGACGTAGGCTTTCCATTGTTTCTTGTGTTATTTGTACCATTAGCCCATCTAGAAGAAAATGAGTTAAAATTCCACATTATCCAAAGGAAAAGCAGCACAGCTTCTTACAGAATCTTGGCTTAAGTTCTACAGAGACCAACCATCTCCTACAGCTAATTAATAAATGCACAAAAGTACTCCATGCCCCACCTACACCTCTAAATGTTAGATGAAAGTGGAAGAAAACCTATTTTGTCAATAGAATTCTAACTAAAATGTAATTTTTAAATTAATTTTTGAATTTTTTTTGCATATATGTTCCAATATGTGTATTTCGGCAATATGGCAATGAAAATAATTCCATAAAATCACATGCACTGATTAAATCTGTTTAAATCTGAACGTTTTAGAACAAGTAGGTGAACTACAATGTATTTTTATGCAGCATTTCTTTGCAACAGGTTCCTCACAAAATTTAAAAACTGAAAAGAAATGTTTAGCCTACTGAGGCATAAAGACCTTGCACAAGATTGCAGATTTTTTTTTCCTTTTTAAGTCTCTTAAGGGGAGAACAGAACAAAATTCTTACCTTCAACTATACTGGATTTAGCTAAAAGTCCTAAGGATGTTTTTAAGGCTCCATTAAACACCACAAAACTTGCACCTGTAACTAGAAAACACAGGAAGGAAGTGAGCACCACTTTGTGTCACTCGAGTCAGTCACAACTGACTGAACTTGAACTCCTCTTAAAACACAATTTAATGTAACACCAGAGATGCATTTTCTGTGCAGCCTAACACGGAACTTCCATTTCTGCTCTAGAAATGTGATTTTTCTCCCCCAGACCTCTTACCTTCCCTGGGCTGTCCCGTGGCACTGATGGCCTGTGTGTGATAGTGGCCCTGCTTGTTCTGCACACACACCAAGTGAGAGTCTGCCTCGGTATTGAAACTGGCTCCAATGCTAATTACATGTTCGTTAGAGGAATCCAGCACCCTCATCACCTGTCAACACAAAGTTTTGTCATTACACTGGCAAATCTCACCAAGAGGGGGTTTTTGGTTGTTGTTTGTTTGGGTTTTTTATTTTTTTAATTACTAAGCAAAACATCATAATCAGGAGATCTGTAAGAGGGAATGTTTGAAAACACATGATGAAAGATTTTGAAGAAACTGCAGATTTTTCAGTGCTTAACAGCTGTTCTAAATCTCAGCTGCTCATCATCCACCTTCCAGCATTTCACAGAAGGAAGTGTGTGCTCAGGTAATTGCAAGCCCTTCCCATTACACATTTAGGTCAGAATAAAGGTAAGAGAGGGCTTTTTCAAAGAGCTGATGGTAGAGGTGTGACTGGTGTTATACAAAAAATGGAAGACTAAAGCAGCTTGGGTTAGAAAGCTAAGATGTACTCACCTCATTATACTTCCTCAGAGGTATTTTAATACAGCTTCTACCCATTTCCACATGAACAAACAGGTTGTCTATGGTATGCAAAGTATACTTGTAATTTCTAAGGTCCTACAACAGACAAGGTATTTATGTTAGCAGACTATTAGGTATTGTTTCCTTACCTTTGCCTTACCTTCATCACCTAGATGAAGGTACTCTAAATACATCTGTAGGACTTCTAAAAAACAGTAGTATTAAGAGTGGCTGAAGACTTGGGGATCCCTTTTTGCCCACCAGGTGTATGTGGCAGGCATCTCAGTGAATATATTAACAAATTCAGAGCACTGACAAATTACCTCTATTAACCAATGGGTTATTTACTCCATGGCTACTTCATTCACATTAGAATCCCAGTGATTTAGGGAGAGAAAAGCTTCAACACTCTCCCTATCTGATAGAAAAGTGAAGCATGTAAACCACCATCCAGATGAGTTTGTTTGCGGGCTCAAAGCCTATCCCCTACAGCTCTAACTTGTTGGTTTACAGATTGAACAGTGCAGCATTACTTATCTCTTTCTGTGACAGAAGTAGTCTCCCATCACCTCACCCACTTCAGCAAAATTCTTTTTATTTCAGAACAACATTAGGTATGAAATGGTTCATTTGCTTTTACTACTTCAGCTGGGAAAAAAAGTATAAAGAGGCTCTTTTCACCAGCTGAGCCAGGTAATCAGTGCAAACAGCTGCAGCAAGAAGGGTTATTTACAAAACATCTCAATGCACCAAGGTTTCCATGGACTGGCATCCAGAACAAGGATGTAAATCACAGGTGCCCTCTGCCTCAGGCACTTGTGCAGGGACAGGCTCTGCATGATCTCTAACCGAGCATTTGCACCATGGGCGCCAAGAGAACTTCTGCAGCCATGCAGTGACTGAAACTCCTGCAAGGAGCACACATCCTGACACAGCCAGGAAGGGGAGCCCCAGAAACTCTGACCCACCTAACAGGAGCCCCACAGAAACCCCAGCCAGCAGCAGCACAGCAGGAAGGCTGCCCAAAGCCAGGGGGACAGCTGCACCCGGCGCTGGCACAGCACCAGCGAGGCTGGCAGCTGGCTCCTGGATTACACGGGGAGCTCCTACAGCAGGAGCAAACGTGCTGCTCCTCCAGCTGGTTCCTCACGCAGTCAGCTGCACACCTGTGCTAGCAAAAAGGGAGCAAACACTGCAGTTTCGTCTCAGCTACGATGGTCTCCAGAGCCAGGAGAGGAGTAGTGACTGCCCAAATGAGACCTGTTCTGCTTCCCATGGCCCTGCCCTGAACGCTAGGATGGAAAGTGCTCCAAGTGCTATGTAAGTATCAGAAGAGGAAGGTTACTGGTCAAAAACACAGGCTTCCCGCAATCTGAAATCCAATTATTTGCATAACAGAGGGGAAGCTTCCACAGGAAATGGCACAAATTCCAGACTTATGATTTTACCAAAAAGTCCTTCACAACAGACAGTCAAGCCGAATAACTGTGGCAAGGTTAAGTTTGTCTGACAAAGCAACTAGTACTGCAGTTAGTCCACAGCATCTGCCTGTCAAATGTTCACATTTAAAATTGTCAGATTTAAGACCAGAATCCCCACACCACAATGATGCTAGGAAGAGAGAAGTGCACCTGAACAATAACAACTACCAGCATCAATGCAAATGCCAAAATTTCTCTCACTCATTAAAAGCCTTTTCTCACTACAAGAACTAATGCATAACAGTACAAGGTGAAACAAACAGCTTTTCTAACTCTCTCACTAGCTTTAAGTCAAGTATGAAGAACAAAAATATTAGCTCCGCTTTCAAGATTCAGCACTTGTTTGGAGGATATTTTCATTTTGTCTGGAGGTAATTTGGATTACAACAGGAAGGGAAGGTAATAAAGCATTTACTCACAACAAGTAGATTCATAATTGTGTGTCCAATGTCTCCGAAAAGTGGCTTCCGGTGCCTGACACTGACCACAGGAGTTGGATAGGCTAGGAAGAAAAAGGTCATGTTTACCTATCATACCATATCCTACCTTACCTATCATATATTACCTACCATATTCACCTAACTCTACAATTTGCTATTCCAGTAGTTCTATAGCTCTTTTCAGCTATAAACTGTCTCTAAATCTCAGTATCTGACCAGCCAAAGGAAGCAGAGCCCCCCTCTAATTCTCAGCCACTGTGTGGTTCTCCCCCTCCATGGCTATATCTGACAAAACCGGTTAAAGAAACCAAACACAACAAATGGCTAGGTAAGAGAAAGAACAACAACAAAGCAGCTGCCAGTCTTGTCACCACAAAGACAGGATCTGGCTGGTAGAGGTTCACTGTGGGCTCCAGAAACCCACAAACAGGTGACAGGTACACATTTATGTGTTGGACAATTCCCAGCTCTACAGAAATTGAGCAGTGTTTTAAAATATTTTATCCCATATTAGTCTCATTAAAGGGTGAGACAGAAGAGATGTAAAACTCAACACCATTCTGTCAGAAACCAACTAATTTCTGGTTACAATACCTTATAAATGTTTTTCAGCCTATTAGCTGTAGCCACACAATGCTGCTAGTACCTCTAACACAAACCATCTATTATTTCACCCCACCTGGACCTGCTAAAATGCATCTTTCACAGTTCTAATTCTCAAAAATATCTGGACTTTTTGCAAGGCCATAGTAGTGTGAAACCCATTTCTAGTTCAATCTCTCTCTCAGCAATGTCATCGCTATTCCATGGCCTTCCTTAGCCAGCACACCTTACCTCAGAGCTTGCATACAGATGTACAAGGCTGTGTGAGCATTCAGGCAGGTTTTGAGAATCCCTTAAAATTCTATTTCTCACATTTATGGATTTGCAGCTTCTACAATGGTGAGCTACAGCCTTTTTACATGCCTAGATGTTTCCAATATATTAGTAAGTTATCCTTATAGGTAATCAATACCTTTATTCAGTTTATGAAGCAGTAATATTTTGTCAATACACTTAACCCAAATAATTTAATTGTAATAAGCACTTTATCAGAGTTGTAAACTGGGATTGTGAGCATCCCTTCAAACCTTTCTCCTACAACCAAAAAAAAATCTTTATATTTTTCTGTCAGTGTTGGTTTCTTAGCTTTCTCATCTGCTAAGAGTAAAAAAAATCAAAGAAGTCTAGCAGGACAATAAACATTCCCAGGTGGCTCTGCATGCTTGGCTTATACAAGTGTAATATAAAATACTGCAAAGATTATTTTAAAATAGCTTGCTTGTCTAAAAACTACTTGTATTTTCCAAAGGGAACTTTACACGTATCCTGACACTGTTAAAACTTACCCCCATATTCTGCTCCCAGTCTCAACATCAAACGGATTGGAAACACCTTTGCCCAGGGTATTTCCAGCTTATGGATAAGAATGCCAAAAAGAAAAGGGTTATCTGGTAGAATCTGATCATCAAGTTTCTGAAAAGTTGGTGAAACAAACAGGAATCCTCCATGATCTTTGTTGCTGAGAAAGTTTTCTGTAAAAGTAATGTTTTCCATATTTTTTATGAACCTTCCTGTAGAAAGAGGAATGGAGAGTGTTTACAGATCGGGGTCACTCACGCTTCCGTGCCAAGAGAACTGCTCTGAGCAGCGAGCTCTGACAGACCTGCCAGCCCACCACTCCCCTCACATCCTCCTGAAGCCTGTGCACAGAATAACCCCAAACAAGTGCCTAAAGTCCTAAACACATCAATTGTGAGTTCTGATCAACAGACCTAAAATATTTACATTTATGAGCACTGTACTCCTACAAATGAAGTGCCAGGTGTCCAAAACCATAGACTCAGGGCTCATACCCAGAATCTCCACCACAATATGACTAAACAACAAAAAAACCTGCAATCAGGATGTTTACAGAAGTAAATGAAACAAACATAAATTCATTTGTTTCTGTTATTTAGAACTCTAGTCTAACACTTCAAGCTCTTTCAACAGAATCATTACAAAATAATTCAGGAAAAATTACCTATCAACTTTAGGTTTTAAAGATCAGCAAGAATATTCTACACAAGAAGAAGTTAGACATTAAAATGACACACCTTTCATTGCACCTTTATAGATGTCAAGAAATAATTTGAATATTTCACTAGGGAAAACATCTTCATCTGGCAAACGCTGCAACAGAATGACAATTTCTGCCTGACCCAAACCATGCAGTCCATTTGTTGAGAACCACCAGCACTTTTCTGAGGAATCTTTAAAAAGATAAGATACCACAGTAATGCTGTTTTACAGACAGGAAAAAAAAAAAAAAAAGGCTTGATTCAACGGAAAAGAAAATGTGCAGTACTTACATGTTATTAGCTTCACATTGACAAGCAAGTTTGCATTTAGAATAAAAGTCAATGGATTAGAACCTCCTTCCTCAAGCAGCAAGGTGACCTTTTGGTGAAATGGATGCTCCTCCACCAGAAGATCTACATAAATTGACACATGATTTAGTTCAAAATACCAGCCAGTGACCCAAACCAAGAATCAGTTCACTGTATGACACAGTCATTCCATCCTCCTGTCCTGGTGGTTATTCCCAAGGTTTGAATACCTCCAGATCTACCAGGGAACAGCTTAGCCTAGGATTCAAGGAACATAGAGAACTGAAGCAGCAGCTTCTGAGAAAGATGCAAACCAGGGCTACCCTTGCTCTGGAAATCCCTGACTGAACGTGTGCTGACTTTTCATCCATCCCCCGACTCTGTCAGGTACCTCTGACGAGCACAGCCGCACCATCATGCACTTAAGAGGTGACACATTCTTCTCATAACATGCTGATCTTGTGACAAGTGCACGGTGATTACCCAACAATCCAGTATGCAACACAGAAATTACATGAGAATTAGATTAAAGTACAATTTTTTGAGTCTGTATTTACAGATGAGTCTGTATTTACAAATCTGGGACAGTGGAAGGTGTCCCTACCCATGGCAGGGGGTGGCACTGGATGAGCTTTAATGTCCCTTCCAACCCAAAAAAGTCTAGGATTCTATGAGCAAATATTAACGATTTTCTCAAGATGTTAGCAGATTTTACCTTTCCCATTTTCACCCAGTGCAAGCAGAAGTGGTGGCAGCTGATCACCATCAGGAAGAAGGCTGATCTCTCGTCGCACCCAGTTTTCTACCCCACACAGTGCTCTGTAACTTGAAGCAGAGACAGGCACAGCCTGTGTGCTCTGCCCCACTGAGCTGGGGCTGCTCTCTGCTGCTGCAGGGGCACGCTCTCCAGCTCCCAGACTGGCAGATCCGTAACGGGGTGCTGCCTCACTCTGGGCTGGAGCAGCCTGCTGTTCACCATTTGATGGAACAGAAGCATGTAATTCCTCCATTCTTGTCATCGTATCTATTTCTTCCATCAGTTTTTCATTTATGTCAGTTACCACATCATCTTCCTCTGGGTTTGCAGCCTGTGAAGAAGAAATAACAAAAAAGAAAATCACACTGCCTCATAGCAAGCTAAACTTTCATTATTAGTATTCTAGAAGCAAAAAGAGAAAGAAATCTATCACAAAAGTTGAGAATACATTTCCTCCTAAATAAGAAGAAAGCCATCAAATCTCTCCTGGATCCTTTTCTCTTTTTTGTTTAGGAGTTAGAGGGTGAAGATGCAGAGTTAATATATTTGTTTGGTAACACAAACTGGATTAGCAGTTTCGTACTAAAAAGATATTTCTACAATATTTCTACTATTCTACTAATAGCTGAATAGCTGCTAATAGCTCAGTCTGATTAATTTCTAGTTTGGAGTCCAACCCACACTGCTCCCCCAGCAAGACAGGTATGACAAGCCATGAACACAGGCACGCTGGAATGTCAGCTGCCATAAAAAATTAAATTAAAAAAACCAATCCCCCAAGACCTCTCCAGCTGTGTCTTGCAATTCCAGCTGCAACACCCTCCAACAAAAACAGATGCACATTATCATTCTTTAGCCTTGAATCCTATATCCAGAGGGAAGACTTTGTCTATACAAGAAGAAAAAAACCTGGCAACTTTATGCTTGTCCTGTGGCAGTTCTCCTGATGTCCCATCAGCTTCCAGCAATCTTCCATTTAACAAATATTCTGCCACAAAATTTTAAAAAAAACACCAACTCCAAAGGGAAGACTCCACAAAAACACAAACAAAACCAAGGCTAAATTGGCTAATAATAGATTCTTTCCCTGAATCTGCCTGTGGGTGTTCCATACCACTTGGCATTTCTGCCCTTCACACAGCCTGTGGCAGCATTCCAGGATTTTGTGTTGCCTTTGCTTTGGAGCTACACTGTGCTGGTTTTGTCTGAATTTCTGAGGCTGCACAGGAGAACTATCAACTAATTGTCTTCACTCACTTTGTCCATGCTGCTTTTAGTTTTAGACATTGCTCATCTTCTGCAAGTGCAAATATCCTACTCTTTCCCCAAAGTGAGAGGCAGGCTATATCTTTTGTTTACTCTAACTCTTTTTTATTACTACAGTTCTCTATGAGTAAAAGCTGAATTAAATGCTATACACCTGTTAAGTGTTCAGGTCCTCTATATACAAATAATAATGGTCTGTTTTTTTAGCTTTAACAACAGATTCTAAAAACTCTTGAGTGCTGTGAGAATCATGAAATTTAAGTTATTACTTTAGACAGTGCTTCAGTGCTATGCTTTATCTTAAAAAGGCTTCACCTGAGGAATTTGCTAAGTTTTTCCACAGCAAACTTACCCCTCTTCTTTGGACTGTTCTTTTAAAGTGCATTTCACTCACCAGTATGCATGTGACTCATGATTAGAAAACAAATCCCCCCTCTCAGTTCAGTATTAGTTCACACTAAAAGCAATACACAGATTTTGCTGCACCCTATAATGGGGTATTGCAGGGCACTAAGCAACTTGTTAGTCTAATCCATCAGGGAGACTATAGCAGGTCACTGGAAACAAAAACAACCACGAACTTGTACTTTAAGCATGCTGCTAATGACAGGCTTAAGAACTGTGGCTGAGGTCACCTTCACAAAAGTGGTGCATCAAATAATGTGCACTAAAAAACTGCTTTGGCAAATTTTCAACCACACCAGTTTTGAAGTTCACAGACACCTCAAACCAAACACGGTTTTCCTTTGAAAACTTTGCTTGGTCTTACTCAAATTGAAAATTACTACAAAGTTTTTCAGTCCAAGGACTTCACAACCGCAGCCAAAAACGTTATCTCGGATTCCAAAGGCTGTGACTCAGAAGCCATGGTGTGTAAGGGCCCCATCCATGGCAAGCCAAGGTCTCCCAGCAGGTAATCCACAAGCTGAACCATCCCAGCTGCTACCGTGGGCATCTCGGGCAGGTCTGCATTCTCTGGGCTGGAGTCCTGTGACCTCTTTGCTCCTGAGGACAGCTTGGCTGTGTCTGCCACTTCTCCGTTCGGCAGAATACCATCTGCAAACCAAACCCTCTTCTGCTCTCGGGGGCACAGCCCTGCACAGGAGAGAACAACAATTCTGTTATCACGCTGCTCCCACAGCTGAGAGGCACAGAAATGAAACCCTTCTCCCCACCACATGTACACAGAATGCCTGCTCACTGGAACCAAGCACAGCTTGACATCAGCCAGTCTCCAATCAGGCAACATAACCTCTCACTTGCACAGGAAGCTGCCCTGCTACAGTTAAATCTATCAATTCATATTGCAGAAGGATACTTTCTCAAACATCTCTCTGTAGTGACATAATGAAATGCCTATCACAACTAAAAGATGGAATACACTCTACAAAAAGCTGATTTATCATTTTCTTTAACAATGTGTTTTCTTTGAAGAAGGTCGGATGTTTAATAAAAGTGGAACAAAGACATTAGTTAGCCACTAATCATTTGAATTTACAAAGAGAATGAAGCTTTGCTCCTCCCTGATAACTTATCCCTGAACAACTACTTTTTGTTTTCACTCTTAGACTGGCATTCCAACACAAGCTAAAGACCTCCCAAGAGATGTAAAAATTACAGAATGAACAGTTACACAAAAAGATTTACAATGTAAATAGAGAGGGCAATGACAAAAGTAACAACCACTTTTCATAAATGGGTAACTTAGGACCCGCTGGGGCCTGGCACCAAAACGGGGAAGTGAAAGTGCTTCCATTCAGAGTGTTTCCGTTTCACACAAAAAATACCAACTATAATCCAGACGTGATAAGCAGCTCTTTCCAAAGAGACTCCCAAAGTGTTAAATGTATGTTATATTGAGGATCTGTACCTTCAGGGCCAGGTTGTTTAAGTGCTGAGATAGGCAGCAGTGCAGATGGTGAAGGAGCGCTGGCACCCCCAAGTAACTGGGCCTCCTCTACAGGTGGAACAGTGGAAGAATGCTCAGAGGAGACACTGGAATTGGGGACAGGACCAGTTGGACTCATCATCCTTTCAAATGCCTGTGCTAAAATAATGTGGTTAGTTTTTAAGATCGCACAATTGATTAACTTTAATTTGCAGAGCAGTACTGTGGGTGGGTAAGGGCTTTTTGGCAGAGGCAATGCACAGTCTGTGATCTAGCTATGAAAAATAAAACTCCTGCATGGAAGAAAATTTAGACTTATTTTCTACCTGCCTAATTACCTCATTTCTAATGGGATACAGAGACCTCCCCTTGTCCTCCTGGGACCACAGCAGTGTGACCCCCAGCCCTTGGGGGGTGTCACATCTGTCAGGCTGAACTCCACTCAGGTGCCTATTAAAAATCTGACATGTTTCCAACTTGTTATTTACATACTCATCAAGAGGACCTCAGCCATTTCTCCTGGTGTTTTCAAAAGCATCCATGGTTAGCTTCCAGTTAAGAAAAGGTTACCTGATGAGTCACTTACTGCAGCCCTAGTAAGTGACTTGTAAAAACACCAGGACAGGAAGCAACATAAAGCGGGCAAACATGTGAGAACAAGGCTTTGTGGCCTGTTTAAAGGCCACAAGGGATGTGGCCTTTAAACACGCACAGGGCTATCTGGAGGGAAGATAATTTCTGCTAGATTCCTGTCACAGGTGATTCAAATTGTATTCTTCTATAAGTTTCTATTTAGTCCTATCAAGTTAAATACTACTTTTTTTTTTTTATAAAAAAGCAACCAACTCGAGACACAAAGTTCAAAGTAAGAACTGGAATCTAACTAAGGAGTAATTATACTCTTTATTCTCCATCTCAGAAATAAGAAAACCTATACGAATTAAAGCAATCAAGCTCCCCAAAAAGAGAAAAAAGGTTAATGAGATAGTTCAATGATTACTGCAATTACTCAGAAAAACTTCTTTATTAATTTACCTTTATTAATATCATCATAACAGCCAGTGCAGACTCTTGCTTCCTTCTCCATGTATTGCAGTTTGCATTTTCGTTTGCAACAGCTACCACAAAAAACCTGAATCAGAAAAGGATTGCATAAACTATTACAGATGTATTGGACAGCAAATAGGAAAATTACATTTGCTTCATTCTAAACCATCTGCAGCCTTGAATTCAAGCCTGTATTGTAATCCCTGACAAAGAAATGAATCCCAGAAAGAAAAAAAAAAAGAACAACAAAAACAAAACCCATGATACACACCCAGCAGAAAGCAGCAACATGGAGGACCCAATTGAAATTATAATAAAATTCTTCTCTGGAGTGATGAGAAGAATTTCAGGTTGCACCAGCCATTCCAAATTCTTTCACCAGCTCCCCCAAATCCTGCTGTAGGTATTTTGTACAACCCACAGTGCCAGGGCCCAGGACTGAGGCGCAGCACGGGGACTTGCTGTGGTGCTTCAGGACCATCTCTGAGCGCTGTGTGCTCGGCAGGGCCCTCAGGAAGCTGCCAGCAGCCTGCCAGCACTCGAGGCTGCCTCTCCAGCCTGGCACAGCCCAGAGCTCCCTGCTGCAGGCTGCTGGGGCAGCCGAGTGGCTCTCCTGCTCCCTCAGCAAGAACAAGCAGTGCTGCCTGCATGGGACAAGCTCCCTTCACACAAGCATTTGCAAAGAACGCCACTCTGGAAGAACAGAATATGCTCTTCTATTCCAACAGGGAATAGAAGATAGCCTGCCTATTTTTAAGCAGAAACAGGGAGGACAGTGTGTCTCATTAGCCCGGACAACATCTACAAAATCCCATTCAAATAATTATGTCTTTAGAATAGCTGCTATTTTGCAAGAGTTGCCATAAATATCTGGAGCTTTTGTCACTTTCCCCTTATGTTCTTTCAAGGATGATCTCCCAGTTTTTAACGAGTCACACCATTTTTAGCTATATGCATTCTCTGGAGCCTTTACAAAAGGTCTTCTGAAACCCCTAAAGGTCTTCTCTACTCCTAATTGATCCCAGCTGAGAAAAATAAAGTGGATCAAGGCAGTGGGGGGGGAAGGGGGTAGGGAAACCCCAAACAGGAGCGGCATAGGAAAAAAGAAAGTTATTACAATGAACTCTAAGCAGGAAAAATCCCTTCAAAAGCAGCGATTATCAGTGTACTATGAGCTAAAAAAAGAAACTATGCCAGCTGCTTCTGCATTAGTGCTGCAGGTAATCTTCCTCAACAGGAAATGCGCATGCTCAGTACTATGTTAAGAATGTAATTGATGAGGATTAATTGCTAATCAGTCATAATCCACTTCAGGGCTTCAAACGCCAAGCAGCACAATCCCCAGCAAGGAGAATTCTCCTCATACCCTTGGTGACACTGGGACCTGCAGGGCACTGCAGGAGGATCAACCCTCATGCACCTAAAAGGTGAAGGCAAACTAAGGGACAGGAGAAGGGAGGTGAGTAGCACTGTTGAGCAAATGAGTGGGTCTTGGTTGAACTAGGAAAAAGAAGGGTACCACAGCAAGAGACAAACACCTGGAGACCTGCAAAGCTGTTTGGCCTTGTGAGGGCTGCAGAGGGGAGAGAAAACGGGGACCACTAACTTCACATTTCCCTCCGGCACAGATGCCAAGGTACACAAGTGTTGCCATTTTCATTGATGAAAAAGAGGTATGGGAATCCATACAATTGTTTTCTAGAACAGTCCACAGAGGACAACTGTGAATTCCAAAAGGTTTTCCCTTATTTCCCGTATGGCTGAAAACCCAACAAACAACAGCTACACAAGGAATGTCTGATTTGGGATTTTTTAAGACAAAAAAGTTGCTATTAAAAAGACAAAGTCTTACAAGGCAGAAAGTTAAGCTGCACGTTCAGAAAAGCTGTAATTGCACAGCACTGCAATATGTGTACGGTTTAGACTGCCCATGCTGCCTTCATTCACTCTCCTAATAAAGAGTGCTAATGCTAATGCTCCTAATTACACTGCTCCCTAATTACACTGCTGTTCTGCCACGAGCCCCTCAGCTGACACACTCACAGCTGTCAACAGCACCGTGCAGTGAAGGGTCTCCCATCCCCACCTCTAGACAAGGTGTGAGAACTTCACAGCACATGTAGAACAGGAACCTCATGGCATCAGTCTTATGACTAAAACAGAATCCATCTGAAGGAATGTGCTTTAAACCACCACAAAATCTCACCAGGATATCCTGGCAGTAAGTTCAATGGCTGCCAGGTCAGCACAAGAAGTGTGCTGGACACCTCAATTCACACCTACATTTTAGTTCACACTGGCTGCAGCTGAGTAAATGAGCATCGTGCTTTGAATACACAGTGCTAGAAAAGAGGTCGGAAAAAAAAACTACCGTGCCTTTCCAGGTGGTGCTTAACGCTGGGGATGCAAAAATTTAGTACTCACACTGGACTTTGGTCTATCTCCTCATCCTTGGAGCTTACAGAGCAACACGGAACAGTGAGGTCACTAGTACTGCTAGCACTTTAATTTATACACTAGTACAGCCACAGCCACAGCTGATCACAAGGGAATTCTGAACTGAATGAATATCAGCTTTGGCATCACTTACTCTCTGTAGAGGACCTCAGGCTGAAAAAAAGTTCTGCAAATTACTCACTTTGTTGGTGAGTCACACACTTTTCCCCTGAGATCAGTTCCTTAGTAAATGCTACATCTAAACACACCAGAAGACAGATTTAGATCATAAATAGATCATAAATCCTTTTGCACTGGTAGTGCTGCTACAGCTCCTGAAAGAACACAATCCCCTCCGGTTCATGGACAGTGCCCTTCAGTTATAATGACTAGTAAAACCACTGGATTCTCATCCTCACCACCTCAGTGTTTTAGAACATAAATAAGGGGCTGATTCAATATGATTATGATGAATTTGTACATCATCTCATCTCCCCTACTCTATGCAAAACACATCAACCTAGCCAGTAATGGCAGATAAGAACATACTTTGTACTTCTCTTAAATAACAATTTTCACAAAAAAGGACGTATGTTTCTTAATTAACATCAGTCTTCTCCAATAGTCTTTAGGTTCCTACAGAGGAAAAAACAAAACCCAGTCTTTGTTAAATGAAGTACTTTGAGCCTAGAAAACCGCTGTCAGCATTCTTTCCCCTCTCTGTCCTGGTTATGCCAAATCAGAATGCCTGTTTCCTGTCACAGCACAGACCCCTGCCAGGAACTCACCTTCCCACAGGCTCGGCAGTGGTGTCGTCTCTTCGTGAAGGTGAACTTGGCCTGGCAGTTCATGCAGTTGGGTGCCTCCGAGTCTGGGACCCACAGGGGCTGTTTCCAGGGCAGAGCTGCAGGTGCTTTACATGGCTCACTGCTTTCAGATGTTTGATTTCCTCCAGCTTCAGAGCTGCCTTCCCCAGGGTCAGTACTACCAACACTTACACTGGTGTCAGAGGAGGCAGCTTCTGGGCGAACAGAGCTGCATTCCTGGTTTTCTCTTTCAAGTATATTTGTTCTACACAGTTGTTTCTGACCAGCAGCTCCTTGGGAAAGGTCACGCAGCTGCTTTGGTCTTGCACCTTTAATACAAACATCAGAAGCCAGAGCTCCACTGCCACTCTCAGTCATGCCTTGACTTTGAGATGTGCTGACCTCTGCTGCAGCTTCCACTTCACTGTCAGGAATAGATATTTCAAGGTTACTATTACTGCTCGTTAGCTCCTCCAGTTTTGTTTGCATGAGTTCTTCATTGACCTCTGTGAAATCCAGGTTGTTCAGATCTGTTAAACTCCCTCCATCTGCATCAGCTTCCACCAAGTTACCATCATTGTCTGAAGACTTCAACACACTGGGCTGCAGACTTTGACCATACAAGAAATCATCAAGCTCAGCGTCGCTTATTAGAATATCACTTTTAATAACATTCTCCTCAGCACTAAAGTCAGCCATAACAGAGCTCATGCTCTCATCATAAAAAGTGTCTACACCAGAACCATATGGCTCAGCTCCAAGGTCTAGAAAAGCAGAAGCAAAAGCTTTGATTTGCTGAGATTCACTATCATCAACTACATTCTCAGTATTGCACTTCTCTCCATCCCTACTCTCTTCTGCAATACTTTCACTGATTTCAGCTACATCTTCTTGCTCATGCCAGCTACTATTTTCAGTGGATTCCCTGCCAGGGGGATGAGTTTTAGACTCTCCAGCATGGACAGCTACAGTATCACTAATAACCTCCACCACTGCATTTTGAGGTAGAGGATTAACCTTTTCTTCTGTTACAATTAGTGAACCACACATGGACACAGGAAGGGAAAGACAAGACAGAGACGTCTGGACATCCTCGGCTGACACACACGAACTGGAAACACTGCTTAGTATCTCACTGCTATTACGTTCTTCACTATCTATATTCTCTTCTGTGCCTTTCTTTTCCAATTCTACTTCAGCTCCTATTTGACACGAGGAGCCTGCTAAGACACAACTTCCAGGTACTGCTGCACTGCTGTTGTGTAATGGAAGGATCTTTGGCAGATCTGAAAGCATGGAATCAGCATTGCTGCCATCCTTTGGGTCTACCTTTCCTATGGCATTTCCTCCATACGCCTCTTTGCTTGCTGCAGAGCGTGCACTGTCGTCTTGCGGTTCCAATGGCAGTTTTTCACAGGCTTCCTCGTCTTTGGGACTGTGTGCATTCAAACTCTGTGATGTTACAGTGACACATTCAGTATCCAGAGCAGCAGTTTGTCCAGGGTGGTTGAGTACTTCATTGCACTTTACAGGCTCTGTCCTGTGTTGGTCATCACACAGACCCAGGACTGCTCCTGCAGCATAACTCTCTGGTTTTAAAGCAAAATTATTAATTTGTTCTGCTGTAAGATGCCCTGAATCTTGTAACGCCGAGTGCCCATCACTCTGCTGTGTGCTGGCAGCCCTGCTGCAGCCAGGTGAAGTCACACAAGCAGGAATGGGGACACAAGACACGCCACAGCCAGCGGGCCCCTGGCTGCACTGGAACTCATCCGGCCGCAGCTCCTGGGCCCCTTCTGGAGCAGCCACTGAGGGGATTAAATTCGCTGTGTCACTGACAAGATCACACACAGGCACGCTACGCCTTCCCAGGCTCAAGGCCTGAATTTCATTTAGGGCACTACTTTTGTCCACAGTGGACAAGAGGTCAGGCCCAGCAACACCCTTCTCTTTGGGTGGTGAGAAGCTGAGCACGTCACTTGTGCCTGCAGGGGCACAGAGAGAGCTCTCCTCCGGGGCAGGACATCCAGCAGGATCCTCTGGCAGCTCTGCTGTGGGGTGTGCATCCAAGCAATCCAGGACTGAAGAGAACTTTGAGTCATATGGATTCTGAGGAGTTCTGAAGCACTCACATTCATCTATTTTAAGCAAGAAGAGATCAAAAGCAAAGTTTATAAGACTCCTTTCTTTCCACGGTGTACTCCCTCCCAACCCCATCTATTCATCAATACAAGCTTTTACTTAGCAGATGCTACTTTCAAACTCCATGGTAACAGTCATTTGACCATGTACTTCCACTAAAAAGGCAGTGCAGAAACCAACCTGTATTCTGCTCAAATTCATCAAGTAGTTTGTCCAAGTCACAGATTGCAGCTTTAAAGTAACTGTCCATTCTAGTCACCGTTCTAGTGAAGCTTTAGTCTTCTTAAACCTACAGAGAAAAACACAGTGTTTAATTCAAAGCATTTTTTGTTTACAAAGCCCAAGTGTTTGTATTAGACAGCACCTCATATGAGGTGTTTTTTTATTTTTATTAATACTTTGTTCTCTCTCCATGTAAACAAAACCTAAGCACAAACAGGGCTGCAGCCTCTAAGTTTTCTGGCTATGCTCAATGTGCTCAGAACTATGAACAATATATGCCCAAATTCATTTCAAATCCCAGAACTGAGGCTAGTTATAAAAAAAAAAAAAAGAGTCATCTGAAAGCATCTATTATGGCATTACAATTTTAGCAAGTTTAAAACCAGAAGGAATGTTAAGATCTCCTAGTCTGACCACATAAACATTTTATGCCACACAGTTGACAGGCAAAAAGCAAAATAGGCCATAACTGCCTTTCAACACAATGGAACTGTGTAAATAGTAACAATAAAAATTAAAAATCTAACACCGTATTTCAGCTCATAATTTCTGTTCTACTCAAAACATACAAACAACTGTATTTCTGAGACTCCAAAACATGAAACTCTTATTATAGACTTACCAGCTCATCAAAAAGCTATTTATTTATCAATCACATTCCCCACTGCAAAGCACCCTGCTTTGTTTGTTTAATGAACCTTTCCAGCCACTCAATGTTATGCCTTTTTGGTCACTCAGAATTGCTTTCCAACTGCACATTTTCTTCAATGACTGAACACCCGCACAGTGGAACTACCTATCAAAAATCAATATTTACAGTTCCTTTGAGCAAACTGAAGGGACTGAGATCCATTTAGTCTAATGTCTGTAGCCACACATGTGTAGAGCTGTCCAGTTTTGCTTCAGCTTTTATCAGCACATTCAGCCTCTGCACAGGCTGACCTCACAGCCTACCCCAACGCAACTGGTGCTCTGACCACTTAGTAATGTCCAGTCATTCTTCTAAAAGCTTAGAGCCCAAACAAACACTTAAATCCTCTCACACCACTCATGCCACCCTGCAGCTGCACACCTAGATTCCATGCCTTGCTTCCCCCAAGCCCTAAGGTCTCCCCTCCCTGAATAGTTCAGATCAGGATCTTTAACCTCTGTCAATATGTAACTGCTCACTACACGTGTTGCAATTATTTACCTCATTAATATGCATGGAACAAATCGCTTCAAGGCAATGTGCAGTTCAAATAGAGGCTTGCAGAAGCGTAAGCAAGGCAAAACAAATCTCAGTAACGCAGTGCTTTGTGCCCAGATGTAAGACAAAAATTAACAACCTGAATATATCACTGTCTGAGTATCCGTGGCCATCAGTCAGTGACGGCCAAGGTCTTGGCTGCTCTCTAGTACAATGTCTGACTGCTGTCCAGAGGGCTCCAGGAGCAGCCAGCACAGACTCGGAGCCCCTTCTCCTCCCCAACCCAGCACAGCTCCTTCCTGCGACAATCACGACCTCCCGGCAAGGGGGACGCAGCAACATCAACTGGAACTTATTGCAATTAAGAGCCATACACAATTAACAGCCTCTGTGATTCACCGAGAGACATCAAAGTACAGATCCCGTCTCTCAAGCACGTATCTGTGGGCAGTCAATAGTCAGATAGACCACATAAACCAGAAATATTGAAGGGTTACAGGAAAACCGGGCATCAGAGGATGCGTAATGCTGGTTTGTGTCCTTTGTAGGTATTTATTATACAACCTCACCAGATATCAAAAACAACAGAACCTTATAAAAAGCAAAAACCTTCCCCATTTGAAAAAAATACAGACGGGAGGCCAGTAATTATTTCATCTACCTTTGTCTTTTACTTAAAAAGGCCTAGAGAATATTCACAGTGTTGCACACTTGAGTCACACAACAACTTCTCATTTAAGCATAAGGGCATTATTAGACAACAAAACTATTTTTAGCTTATAATGCTAATTAGAAGGGTGCATTGATGCTGTACAGCATTGGCCCACTAAACTCTCCAGAAAAAGGAAGAACTCAATGAAAAGAACTGTAGAACTAAAACCATATGCCAATATTTACATCTATTTAATACAGATCAGCTCACTTCTACAGAGAGCTCAACAAACTATCATACCTCAGTCTACCAACCCAGCAATGTTGCTTTGTTTAGTTAAATCTATTTTTTAAATAAAATGGTTATTTGATTTGGTAAAGTACTAACCTAACGTTGAAAAACTAGCATGTGTATTTTTCCTAATTTCATTACTCTCCTCAAACTTTTCATAGGTTTTTCATCTTTCTACAATAGACCTACAAGCAAAAAAATCTGAAACCCACAACAAAATCAAAACCCCCAAAACAGGGCAGAGCAGCAGTACCCCCCTGTCCCAACTTTGGTGTCTGCATCACCAAAAAATTGTAAAAGCCTTCTAGTTTCTCCTGTTTCAAATCCTCTTTCAGCAAGAGGAACAAGTTTTATTTTCTGCTGCCTGGATTTGCCTGCAGCCTGTCGCAGTGTTTACATTATTGGATTAGAAGCTATGAAAAAGCTCTGGTGACACATTTTTATTAAATGGCTGCTTGCTTCCCTGAGTGGAGGGTCTGGAGGAACCATGTGCTTTAGCGAAATGCATTTGCTCTGAGCATATTCCTTTAAGGCTTATACTTGTAACAGAAGAATTACACTGCATTCTAACTATCAGAAACCAGGAGCACCACCTCTGTATACGTTTTTTAGCCAGGCACAGTTGTGTTTTCTGAATTTGTCTTTTAGAGCTCTGAATACAGTCACTAGACACACTCTAAACTGGCTCACAGATTAGTATTCTTTAAAAATAAACATATGCTTATAACTTTATCTGAGGCAATAAGTCCCTAATAGTGCAAGGAGACATAAAATTTTAGGCTCTCACCACTCCATTTCATAGTTCAAAAAAACTTTAAAATTATATTTAAATCACTGTTTATTAAAGACCATATGCTTTCAGATAAAGATAGATTAAATATTTACGTAGGAGGAGACTTGAAGGTAAAATAGCAGTCTGCTTCAAAATGGGAAAATAATCATCTAAGCACAAAAGGTACTACAAAAAAGTGCACACTGGACATGTCACTTCTCCAGATAAACCTCGAAACAGGCTCATCTTAGATCTCCAACAAATGGTCTGACACACTCCCAGCACAGCACCACACAGACCTAAGAGACAGAGGCAATAGTTCCACCTCATTAAAACTGTTAACTATTAACTGTGGAATGCAAATCCTGAGATCTCGATGACTGCAAGCATGACAGGGTGCTCAAAAATGTGTCACAGACCTCAACACTTCCTTAAAATCCTTCATAAATCACTTATCCCTTCTAACCGAACAAGCACACACATTCCAGAGTCCAAAACCAACATGCACTGGGGATTTCTCTGCACACTTTTAGTTCAAGGAGGAGATAACACGAGGCTGCTGGGGGTGGCCAACTTACAGGATGGATTGCAGGGCTTTTTTCCAGATACACTCTGTAAAAGGAGGCACTTCACAGCTCTCAGTGGTGGTAACTTGCAAAACAGAATGGATAGGTTAATTATTACCAACCAACCCATTGCAGGTCTGAAGATAAGCTACCTTTTGATGTCTAAGAACACCTGAAAACCACTCTCTAGTGTTCACACATATGGGCACCACCACACCCACAGTTTGCTGCAGCTAATCCCCATTGCAGAGGCCAGGCCTGCTTCTACACAAAACATACCAGAAGAGCCCAAGCTGGGCTTTAGAGGCAAAGGAACACACAAGCAGGGGCACAGGGGTCTCCCCTCCAGAGAGGTGACCACAGGATGGCCACCACCTCAGTTCTGACTACCACAGCTGCAGTCCCTTGGCTCGCTGGCTATGTCCAGCTCCACCACAGTGTTTAATTATTATGCTTAGCCTGAGCAGAAAGCTGAGCTAAGGACTGTGGAAGCATGGAAATGGCATTTTCCACCTTACCACCCCAGCAACCACCGCAGGCAGAACAAAATCTCCAATATAAACATGGGCACTAAGCACCAAGCTCACAGTGAAAAACGCTCATGGACTGCTGTGTGCCCCCTCTCCCTCACTGGTGTCGCACATGGGTGTTGCCATGATGATTTTTGTCTTTTCTTTTTATATACCTTTTATGAGGTCTCAGTATCCTTAATATAACTGTAATTCCTTAAGCCTAATACCTTAACATAATCCTGGTATTCTATTAAGCCAAAAGACCAAACTTCTAAAAGCCTCACAGTCAGAAGCCAGAAAACCTAACATTATCTTGAGAAACCCCTCCAAAACACTTGTTACGCCCACCTAAGAAAAAATACATTAAAATAATCACACTATTTATTTAAACCTCTCATTGAAATGTCTTTGTTAAATATACTAGTTTACAAAACCTATAAAACTGTATACACCATCTACCATATGTATGCATTTTGGTATATGCGAATTTTACAGTTTGCATTTTGGTACAGCCCAATGTGACAAATTGTTACACCATAAAAATCCTAATTAAATACCAAAATAAAAACCTTTTTATCCCTTACCCATGTCTAACAATTCTAAGACCAAGGAAAAAGCATCAAGGGTACTGAAGGAATTCATTACCAGCTTTTTCCTTCTCAGCCCCCTCCCTAACACCCATGAACCCACACACAGGCCTGAAGCCCTAATGACAAAAAGTTTTAGGGAACAGCTGACCACAGAGCCCATCAGCAATCAACCTGATGGAGAAGTTCAGCACAACTGCACAAACAGTGCGTGAAAAATTTAAATAAAAACAAGAACGATTCTTGCTGAGCAGAACAACTTACTGTCTAAACCAAAAGCTGAGGTGGCTGCTGCCACAGCAGGTTTAGGACCTGAATCATGGGGTGAACCAAAAGCTGTTGAAGTTTTCAGATGTATAAGGACAAGCTTACAGGATAGAGCACAACAAGCTGTCTTGTCTGAGGAATGCTATTCTGTGAGTGAAACATGGACTCTTCAGAAGGGCAGAACTCCACCAGCAGCGTGATGACATTACACCCGCACAGCTCCATCCCACATCGCCTTCAGCTTCTGAGGATTTCTGTTCATTCATCCACCCTGCTCCTCTGAGCTGGGAGCAGCACTGCTCACAGCACCCAGAGAATCGCGGACTGCCTCAATTACTGCAGCGCTGGAAGGCTCCTCTGGAGCTGCTCCCCTGGGCAGGGGCTCGGGGACGTGTCCAGCTGGGCTGGGATGTCCCACACAGGGACCCCGCAGCCCTCCCTGGGCACTGTCCCAGGGAGCCTGGGAGGGGTGGGACGGACGGACGGGATCCCCCCTCGGCTCCCTGCTCCAGCCCGCCCGGGCCGAGCCCGGCACAGAGATGCTGCAGAGCCCGAATCCTCCCTGTGCCTCCCTGGGCCCCTCCAGCAGATCGTTCTCTTTCTCCTGCTGTGAGCCAGCCTGGAGGCGGCACTGGGAGGCAGAGCGGCCCTGACTCGCAGCAGGCAGGGGCTGTCATGCGGGCACAGCAAGCTCTGCAGAAGGGACCGCGGCAGGCAGGGGAGCGCTGCTCGCTCCGCACCCCATTCCCCGCGGTCTGCGTTATTCACCAGCCCGGCTTCGCCTCTCGCCACCCGGCACCGGCAGCACCGGCGCTGGCGGCCGGCTGGACCCTCTGCCGCACTGCCCACAGGCTGCCAGTGGCCGGTTCTGCTCGGATTTAAACACAGACTCAAAGTGCTTTACACTCTCTAAGTGTGCGGTGCACCACTGTCCGCTCTATGTGCCATATATGTATTCTGCACAACCTGCCAAATAACCTCGTCTACTTTACTTTATACACCACATACACTCTCCACATACCCCACACAGCGCTCTCTGTACATATCCCATGCTCGATACGCCGTATATAGAAACAAGCGGAACCGCAGCAAGCAATACCACCACCAACACGCAGAAACCTCCGGGGGCGAACCACCCACCCAGGTGCCCTCAGGCAGAGGTCAGACTCGCACAGCCGCGTCGCCCCGACCTCACCCGGCGGGCTCGGGGCCGTCTCGGGGCCGAATCCCCTCAGGGCCCGCCCCGCTCCCGGTCCCGCTCCCAGTCCCGGCCCCGCCGGCGGCTCCGGGCGGCGGCCTCGGCCCTCGTCTGCGCGCAACGCGCCTGCGCGGCCGCGCCCGCCCCACCCCGCGCCTGCGCGGCCACGCCCGCGCCTGCGCGCCCCGCCACGGCCCCAAGGAAGGGGCGGGGCCAAACGCCAGACGGACTGCGTGAGGGGGCGTGGTATTGCTACATGGGCGTGGTCGCGCCCGTGATTGACAGTGCATGAGGGCGGATCGCCGACTGGCCTGACCCCCACCGGGGCGGGGCCTGGGGGAAAGGGGCGGGGCCTATCGTGTAGGTCACGCCCCCCACCTTGTCCCGTAACCCCCGCCAGGGGGCGCCGCTCCCGCCTGGGTCTCGTGGCGTCAGACCCTCCGCGCCGCGGTGACGTCACTGCCGCGCCATCAGCCCTGCTCCCTGCCCGTTCCAGTGACGTCACAACTCCTACCGTGACGTCACCCCCCCGCCATTACACCACACCCTCCACAGTGACATCACTGAAGCGCCATCAGCCCCACCCAGGCCCTGCTCCCTGCCTGTTCTGGTGACATCACACTCCCCACAGTGATGTCACACCCTCTACAGTGATGTCATATCCCCTACAGTGATGTCACACCCCCACAGTGATGTCACACCCCCAACAGTGATGTCACACCCTCCACAGTGATGTCACACTCCCCACAGTGATGTCACACACCCACAGTGATGTCACACTCCCCACAGTGATGTCACACCCTCCACAGTGATGTCACACCCCCTACAGAGATGTCACACCCTCCACAGTGATGTCACATCGCCTACAGAGATGTCACACACCCACAGTGATGTCACACTCCCCACAGTGATGTCACACTCCCCACAGTGATGTCACACACCCACAGTGATATCACACTCCCCACAGTGATGTCACACCCCCACAGTGATGTCACACCCCCCACAGTGATGTCACATTCCCTACAGTGATGTCACACCCCCACAGTGATGTCACACCCCCAACAGTGATGTCACACCCTCCACAGTGATGTCACATCCCCTACAGTGATGTCACACCCCCACAGTGATGTCACACCCCCACAGTGATGTCACACACCCACAGTGATATCACACTCCCCACAGTGATGTCACACTCCCCACAGTGATGTCACACACCCACAGTGATGTCATACTCCCCACAGTGATGTCACACCCTCCACAGTGATGTCACACCCCCAACAGTGATGTCACACCCTCCACAGTGATGTCACTGCAGTGCCACCAGCCCCACCCAGGCTCTGCTCATTCCGGTGACATCACACCCTCCACAGCAAGACGTCACTGGCACCAGCCCTGCCCGTGCAGACCTGTCTGTCCTTGTTCTGGTGACATCACGCCCCTGCAGTGACATCAGACCCCTGCAGTGACATCACACCCTTGCAGTGACATCACACCCCTGCAGTGACATCACACCCCTGCAGTGACATCATACCATTGCAGTGACATCACACCCCTGCAGTGACGTCACCGCCACTCCCTCAGGGACTGCCAGCGCAGCCCACACATGCTCCCAGTGGTGCCGCTGAAACAGCCACTCCCGCCCCTGTGCCCACACTGCGCCATCATCCCCGCAGTGACACCACCACAGCACACACAGCTCCCGGTGTTTCCAGAACATTCTTTTCCACATGGCCGTGGCGCCATCCCTCAGCCGAGGGCCAGGACCATGGCCTTGGCGGCCCCGCAGCCACTCCCGGTGTTTCCAGAACGTTCTGTTCCACATGGCTGTGGTGCCGTTCCTCAGCCGAGTGCGGAGGTCCAGGACTGTGGCCTCGGCAGCCCCATGGCCACTCCTGGTGTTTCCAGAACATTCTTTTCCATGTGGCCGTGGTGCCGTCCCTCAGCCGAGCGTGGAGGGCGTTTCCAGAACGTTCTTTTCCACATGGCCATGGTGCCGTCCCTCAGCCAAGCGCGGAGGGCCAGGACCGTGGCCTCGGCGGCCCCGTGGCCGCTCCCGCCCGGGCCGGGCGGGCAGGGCTGGGGGCCGCGAGCCAACGCCAGCCTGGCCCAGCCTGGCCGGGCTCCGCCGCCCGCGCCAGCATGTAGCTGACCTTGCGCTGGTGCGCCAGGGCCTCCTCCTTGTCGTTCACCTGCCAGCGGAGAGCAGAGCGCTCAGCGCCAGCGCGCCGCGGCCGCGCCGCGCCGCAGGGAGAGCCGTGCACTGACCAGGTCTATCAGCACCCGCAGCAGCTCCTGGGCGTCGTCCAGCTCCCGCACCCTCCTGCCGTCCCCGGCTGACCGCAGCAGGCCGGACAGCCGCCGGCCCAGGCTGGGCTCGCCGCCCTCTGCGGAAAACAGAACCGTGTCAGCACAGCTGCTCCGGGAGGGGAAACCGCTTCGGGATAGAGCAGCACTGCTCAAATGGAGCTGAGCAGTCACAGAGAAAAGGGCAACACCAGACGCAGCTCGGCACGTCCCCCTGCTCCCGCTGCGCAGACCTCGCACGGGGGCAAACTGAGAATTTGCTCCGTGAAAAACACACTTTTCACGCTCTAGGTAAACAATCATTCACGGTAGTTCGTTTTTAAACACTAAGTAGCCTTAAAAACCCAAAGATTCTCTGACACTGGCAACCTACAAGTGTGTAAGATTTCCAGGAATGGTAAAATTAATTTGTTTTTAAACACTAAGTAGCTGAAAAAAAACCCCAAAGATTCTCTGACACTGGCCACATAGAAGTCTGTAAGATTTCCAGGAATGGTAAAATACATTAAAATTACGGAACAGATGTGCCAGGTAATGGAGCCTGAAAGCAATGGGGCCAGTACAGGGGAAACAGACACTCAAGGTTGTGCTGTTGTAGAGCTACACCCCAGGAGTGCCCCAGGAATTTGGGAGACACATCACACTTCTAAGCTCCTGCCAATGGTCAAAACAAATATATTGTGCCATTCCTAAAGCCTGCAGTGGTTCTGACCATGATGTAAGCACTGAAATACCTCTCATTATCCCTCTATTTTTTTTTTTAATAATAGAAGATTGTTAGAATTACTCCTACTTTACAGATTGGAAATCTTCCTCTTTTTACACAGGGCTTTGTAACTCTGCATTAGTGTAAGAACACTAATAAACAGAAATATCGATACACATGCATAATAAAAAGATAAAGGGGTTTAAGAAAAAAAACCACAACTGTTTAGTACTCCAGTGAATTATGGAGTGGCCTGGCTTAGAAGAGACCTTGAAGCTCATCTTGCTCCATACCTTCCACCAGACCAGGCTGCTCAAGCCCCACTTGGAGCTAAAAAAACCTCGAGCTATAAATTTTTTTTGCATTTCTTCGCCTTCCCCACCTCTTCTGCAGAACTAATTTGACAAAAAACAAAACCCAAAAGACAGAGCAGTTGCTGGCAGCCCTTAAACCAGCCCGGGCAGCAGCTGAGCCCCCAGCACATGTCCAGACCAGCCAGCCCCAGGCACTGCCCGGCTACCAGCGCCCTGCCGCCGCCAGCTGCCAGATCTGGTTCCCTTCTTCACGCCGAGTGCCTCTGCCAGCCGCAGGGCCTGCTCCTGCCTCTGCCCCAGCTGCTGCTCAAACGCCGTCCGGAAGGCGTCCGCCACCAGATATGCCTCTTCCCTGCTCTTCTTCACATCCTCCACCTGGGGTTCAGTCAGGGGAAATTTAAAGCGCGTTAGCTGCTTTGGAAGCAAAACGGATTTGAAAGGAATATTAAGACACAGACAGCTTGCAAGTAAATATAATCAAGGAAGCAGCAGGAACCAAAGGGTTTTCCTGGCATGTAAAGAAATGCATTTTGAAATGTGTATTGAAGTCCTTGCTCTTCACTGTCTGCACATGTTCACACCCCCAGCCACCTACACAATCATCTCTGAGTTTATTTATCTTTGCATATGTACAAGAGCTCAAGGAGAAAAATAATGTCTCCTCCAGCCAGGCCTGGAGAAAAAGGAGCAAGAGATTGCAATCCATATCAGGGATCATAAGGGACAGGCCAGCACCTATTTTCAAAACCGGCTGGTCAGCTGGAAGTTCTGCAGCAGGACCACAAGGATGGCTACCACATTTGCAGAGTCAAATACAGATTAGAAGAGAAATCCTAAATCTGCACAATTTCACTTAATAGAAAAAAAATAGGAGCCTGGAATTCACGTCACTGATGTAAGTGTGAGATAAATAGGTATTTCTAGCAAGATCAGCCTGCTGCCCTAGCTGAGTGAGCGGGCTGTGGGTGCTGATGCCAACGAGGGAGGGGTGGAAGGCACTGCCAGGAAGGAAGGGAAGGTTCAGTGCCAGTCCACGTGCACAGTGTGCACATTCATGGGGGACACACCCTTAGGGCATGTTCTCTTTTTTCATATAAAAAATACGGGGAGAAGGGAAAAGAATGCAATTTTCTTTTTTTTAACTAGTAAAGCTGAGTAGATATAATCACTTTTTTTTTTCTACCAGCAAAAATGATGGCATTACAAGCATCACAAACTTCACAGTATTTCTGAGATCCACTGTGGTTGTGAGAGTTTGTGAGAGCAGTGCCTGGGTGTTTTGGGCTTGGTTTGGACTGGTGCAGGAGCACCCCCTCCTTGTCCCCACCCTGCCAGCCTTGTCACCTGCTGCTTGAGATGAAGGAGTTGCTTCCGAGTGAGAGCTGCCACCTTGGCACAGGGACAGGGCTGCCCCTCAGCAGGGCTGCAGGTGCAGGCTCCGAGCACTGCCAGCTGAAAACCCAAAGCAAACCAGAGGCCAGGGTGAAAAATGCACATTTTATGATAGGCTCTTCACAAATGTTAATACTATATTTTGTAATACTGTATTAATCATTTTTAAGTAGTGTGTTAAAGATAGTTTGAGGTTATAAAATAATGTTAAAACAGGAACTCTGTGATATAAGATATTTTTTAGTAGCTCAAGAAAAGGGATAAGATAATAAAGAAACTCTTCACAAAGAGATAACAGCAACACAAAACCTGAAGAGTTGCAGCCTCCTTATCAGAAAAGACAAACATCCTTCCACCTTCTCTCTGTTATTGTGGAACCACCAGGATTAAGG